TTCTTCTTATTTTATTTCTTTCTTTCTCTCTCTTTCTTTCTTTTTTTTGTCAGTCGCTATCTATTTATGATTTAATTTATCCTTGTTATTTCTTCTTTCTCTCTCTATCTTTTTCTTTTCTTCACTTTTATTTCTTGTTTGTTTTGTTCTTTCTTTCTTTCTTTCTCTCCCCAATTTCTCTTTTACTCTCTCTGTTTTTTCTTTCTCTCTCTTTCTTTCTTTCTTTCTTTCTTTCTTTCTTTCTTTCTTTCTTTCTTTCTTTTTCTTTCGTCGTTCGCTTTCTATTCATGATTTTATTTATCCATGTCCAGCTGTTTATTCCTTCTCTTTCTTTCTCTTTCATTTTCTGTATCTGTCTCTTATAACTTGAATATATCTTTAGAAAAACCTGCTGTTCTGCCGCTGACCAGAGGGGGGCGGAAGTGAGCTGCCAGGCTGCCAATCAAACCGTAGAAGAAGACCTCCCTTTTTTTTTACCATTCAGGGCATCTCTGGAAACAAAACCCCACCGGTGTCGGTCCGCTGTTAGCCCCCAAATGCCCGGGTTTCCTCGCGTCTTTCCCGGCGTTTAGCCGCGGCTTCCAGCGGGCTGTCGGAGCTATGGAGGCGGGCTTTGAGTCGTCGGTTCCCCGCAGAGCTGCGTGACATCTTTCCACCATGATCCCCGTGCCGCTGCTGGTGGTCGTGATGGGCGGCTGGTGCGCCGTCTACCTGGCCGACACCTTGCTCAGGGTGACTATCCGAGTCTTTGTGCCCCGTTTTTTTGCTTCCCTTTCACGTCCTTTCCGGGTACAAAACGTTGGGGGGAAAAAGAACGTTTGGGCTTCAACGGCCGGCGCGCGAGCGTGCAGCCTGTAAGCTAGCTCAGGTGTTTGTAGCCGTTGGTTTTAACGGATATTCCCCAAACCGGAACACTTAAGCCTCGTTTTGTCATTTACCAAACATCTGGATAAACATCTGCCTGTAGTGTAAGGATCCAGGAAACTTCCAGAACCGTGTTGGAGGAAAAATGTAATAGCAAAACAAACGGATGGACGTTTTGTTGTTGTAGTTGACACCAAATGTTGAGGATTAACATATTAAAACCAGCTTCAAAGATGGTGTTTGATAAATTCTGATGGATGTGAATAAAGGTCCAATAAGGCCATTTCCATCTAAACTGTGCTCCTTTAGTTTGTTGTCCAGTAGTTATGAAAGCATAAACATGAGAAGGAATTCTCATTGGAAAATAATGAGAGGATAACATTAATAAAGGGAATATAGACATGAAAGACCATACTAAACATAATAAACCCATTTTAATAAAACAATATTGGAATGAAACCTTTAAAAAAAGCAATGAGAAAAAAATGTTTTGACTTGAAAATGGATCAAATGAATAAATCAAACAGTCAAAGACATAAATAGGCTTAGGAATAAATGGAAATGAGTTTTTCCTTTTATTTTTTCCTCTGTGTTTTTTTATTCTTTACTATATTTTTGTGGCAGATGTTAATATGGTTGAGCTTAACTTTCCCAAACACATAAATAGGGATGAGTCCTTTTTATGCTTGGATAGAAAAACGGTTCATGTTAATTTGTAGAATAGTTGGAGGAACCTTTTAGCTTTTAGCTCCGACCAAAACCAGCCGCTCCTCACGCGGAATATCCTGGAAAATCCTGGAGGATGATGCCGAAACCCGCCCACAGCTGTATCGTTTGAAAGCCTCCATTTTAATCCGGCGTTGGCATCTAATCCTGTCCGTTCCTCCCGCGTTGGCTCTGACCTGATGTGCTTTTGCTCTGCCCTTTTGCCCCCCAGTCCTCCGCCACGCACCGGATCAGCTACGAGTCCTGGCTGGCCTCCCGGGGGCTGATGCTGTCTCCCTTCCACGTGCGCTGGCAGACCACCATGTTCAACCGGCTGTTCGCCCACTGCGCGCGCATCAACCCCCGGGCGCTCTACCTGTGGTGAGCCCAGTTTCTCCTCTCTCCTCCTATCACCTCCTGCAGGTGTTCCTGGATCTGTGGTTAGGAGCATTAGCATTAGCATCTCCTAACCCACAGGTCTGTGTCCTAACCATTAAATTTTTATCAGAGTAAATCCCTGTTCAACATGAGTCTGACAACTAAGTAAG